AAACACTAACGCCAAGGGGATGACAACTGCTGAGGAATAAAGAAACTACATGCAGGTACACTGGGAACACGTCATGCTAGAGTTGACGTGTTCCCAGCCCGTCCTGTACCATGCAACCCGTTCCGGTGATCACTCCCGCCTCTGATGGCTTATCCTGCTATACAGGGCCGGATATTGTTTGGAGCTGTTTGGACACTGGCGTCAGCGGCTGTGGCGACTGACAGCCGAGCCGACGGCGTGCACAGCTCAGCTGTCTGAGGTCAGGGCTGCGACACAGCTCAGCTATCTCGGGTCAGGACCGTGACCCCCTATGAAAAGACCCAGAGAGGGATCTAACATCGGTGACTCCCTGCTTAACCCTAACAATCCCTACTTTTTTCTCCGCGCTATAAAAAAACACATGCGAGTTATAAAAAAAACACATCCCTATCAACCAGTCCCAAACAGTGTACCAAATTTGAGCGCAATCGGCGTGGCAGTTCAGGGTTCAAGATATATGAGCAACCCAAAATCGCTACTGCAGCAGAATAACGAACACTCTTGGCCCTTCACGTCGCACGTGTCACGACGCTCACCATGATACATCAGTTGTAGTCAATAACTCACCAAGATACATCAGTTGTAGTCAATAACGAGATGGAAGGGAAAGGATTACGCAACAAAGAGTAACGCAGGTCAATCAGCCCAGCGGTGCTGACTTACAAGCCTATTAAAAACGTTACAGGAATACGCTTCGCTAGCTCAATCGTAATAGACCTAGAAAAAGACCTAGGAGTTACTATTGACAAGAAACTATCATTCTCAAAACATGTCATGAACCAGGTTAACAAGGCCAATAGAATTCTCGAAGTCATCAAACATACCTTTGCAAACATTGACAGTGATGTCTTTCAAGCCTTGTATAAGAGCATCGTGAGACCCCATCTTGAGTATGCCGCTGTTATATGGAGCCCCAAATTTAAGAAGGATAAAGACGCACTCGAGCAGGTGCAACGGCGGGCAACGAGACTGGTGAAGGGGCTGTCTCACCTGTCATACTCCGATCGTCTCAGAAGCCTCAATTTGGCTACCCTTGAATTCCGAAGGCAAAGATCAGATATTATCGAGACATTCAAAATCCTAAAAGGCTTCGACACGGTGAACTACCAAAGAGAGTGCTCGTGTTGTCGCAACAGCATGTTCAAGAACTCTCTTAGCCGTACCACCCGAAGTCATGGTCAAAAGCAGCAGGTTCAGCATCAGTTGGGACCTAGGAAAGCCTTCTTCGCGGCACGAGTGACTCGGGCGTGGAACAAGCTGTCTAGGAATACTATTGAAGCACCAAATGTCGATGTTTTTAAGCTCAGACTTGGGAAAGAATGGAAGGACCACCCCGACAAGTTTAACTACAACTTCTCCTACCAATGCTCAAGAGTGGCTACTCATCGTATTAACAACAGTAGCTACTGTCACTAACAACAGTGGTCGTCATTTTATGGCGACAACAAGCATGGCAGCCAACTCGTCTTCATCAGAAGAGGAGGAGGCGCCTCTTGAGTAAAGGGTCTTATTACTCGAAAGGGTATCTAATGACCTTTACTTAAGGTAAATACTTAAGGTAAATACTTAAGGTAATAGAGTAGACATTATAGACAATAGACATTTGCATTTTCTAGGTGCAACAAAACCTACCGCTAAAACCCGCGAGACCTGTACCATGCACAAGGGCGCCGGGTGCAGTGTCTGTGTGTCCCTGACTGACCTGCAGCGGTGACGCTGTCACAGAAAGCACCTGTTTATTGCCCAATGGGTCCAGCCCAGTTCCGGCCGGCCGAGTGCCCGCACGTACGCAGCCAGTGTTACGGTCTGTGTTCGATCTATGTTACGGTCTGTGTTCAATCTATTTTACGCCCTGTGTAACGACCTGCGTTACGGTTTGTGTTACGGTCTGTGTTACATACCCTGTTCTGGGCGGTCTCCACCTTGACCCTCTTAGCGTCCCAGAGTCGGTACTGGTAGAGGTGCGCGTTCTCTGCCGAGCCGTCCCGCAGGTGAACGAGCAGGTTCTGTAGGCCGACCAGCGTCTCAGCTGGCACCTGAGGTCAGGGGAGGGTAGGGGAGGTCAGTGGTGTACTGGTGTCTGACATAGACCAGCGGACAGGGGGAGGGGAGAGGGAGAGGAGTCTGGTGGCGCAGTAGGACCGTTCCGCGCTTGAAAGTGGACACATCTGAGGACCGTTCCGCGCGCACTGACACTGCCTCTAGAACCGTTCTGCGAGCAGTCAGACATGCAGACCGGATTGATATTTTGAAACTTTGGCATAATAAACTTTAATTAATTCGACACAGGTAGCCTAACCGCGTGTGTTTTTTATATCGCGGACAAAAAAGTGGGGATTGTTAGGGTTAAGCAGGGAGTCACCGATGTTAGATCCCTCTCTGGGTCCTTTCATAGGTCACGGTCCTGACCCGAGATAGCTGAGCTGTGTCGCAGCCCAGACCTCAGACAGCTGAGCTGTGCACGCCGTCGGCTCGGACGTCAGTCGCCACAGCCGCTGACGCCAGTGTCCAAACAGCTCCAAACAATATCCGGCCCTGTATAGCAGGATAAGCCATCAGAGGCGGGAGTGATCAATGGAGGGACGCGAAACACTAACGCCAAGGGGATGACAACTGCTGAGGAATAAAGAAACTACATGCAGGTACACTGGGAACACGTCATGCTGGAGTTGACGTGTTCCCAGCCCGTCCTGTACCATGCAGCCCGTCCCGGTGATCACTCCCGCCTCTAATGGCTTATCCTGCTATACAGGGCCAGATATTGTTTGGAGCTGTTTGGACACTGGCGTCAGCGGCTGTGGCGACTGACGGCCGAGCCGACGGCGTGCACAGCTCAGCTGTCTGAGGTCAGGGCTGCGACACAGCTCAGCTATCTCGGGTCAGGACCGTGACCTCCTATGAAAGGACCCAGAGAGGGATCTAACATCGGTGACTCCCTGCTTAACCCTAACAATCCCTATTTTTTTTCTCCGGGCTATAAAAAAACACATGCGCGCTATAAAAAAACATCCCTATCAACCAGTCCCAAACAGTGTACCTACCAAATTTGAGCGCAATCGGCGTGGCAGTCCAGGGTTCAAGATATATGAGCAACCCAAAATCGCTACTGCAGCCAGAATAACGAACACTCTTGGCCCTTCACGTCGCACGTGTCACGACGCTCACCATGATACATCAGTTGTAGTCAATAACTCACCAAGATACATCAGTTGTAGTCAATAACGAGATGGAAGGGATAGGATTACGCGCAACAAAGAGTAACGCAGGTCAATCAGCCCAGCGGTTGCTGACTTACAAGCCTATTAAAAACGTTACAGGAATACGCTTCGCTAGCTCAATCGTAATAGAGTAGAATCATTACATATATGCAATTGCTACTATTTCCTGGTTTTCTTTATAGGCCAAGGCTTGGTAACTGATAACTCTGCTGCCCTGTAATGGGTCCGGCCCGCTGTGGCGAGTGAAGACACTCACCCTGACTGACTGGACTGCCAGCCGAGACGCTGCTGACTCTGGTGGTGAATGGTGAGCGGAAGAGGAGAAAGCTTACGCCAAAGCTGAAGCAACTCTACATTGCTGTAATCTTGTTTAATTGTCGGAACGCCTCTTGGATGTAGGGCATTGTTTCTACTTGAATATTTGTATGGTGGTGACCTTAAGCCCTAGTGTAAAGACGAAGAAACCAGACTGACCTCCAGATGATGTTGAAGACGATGCTGTAGTCGACGATGATGAGAAGAAGACGACGAAGAGAAGTTGTGCACAAATTTGTGCACAACTTCTCTTCTTCGTCTTTACACTAGGGCTTAAGGTCACCACCATACAAATCTACATTGCTGTACAGCTACATAGGAGACATCTCTGTCCACTTTAATTTCACATATGTCCCTCTCAGTTTTCCAAACACTGCAGGTTTTGGAGAGGCAGCCATGTCCAGCCTCACCACAGTTGATGCATTTTGGAGAGCAAGTCCCTTCATGTTTCTTAGAGGCACAGTTCAGACATATACTCTCAGCCTTACACCTTTCCTGTGCATGTCCGTATTTCCCACAGTTGTGGCAAAGAAGTGGGTTTGGTATGTACTTCTTGACTGGGTACCTGACATAGTCAAATTGGAGCTGTGAGGGACATGTTGGGGTGTTGAAGGTAAGAAGAAGAGTGGGCGTGCGCTGAACTTCCTCCCCTACCTTCCTCGTGAATCATTTTACGCCAACCACACCAAACTCCTCCAACCAACCGCAGATCTCCAACTCTGACAAGTCAATCAGGTCAGGTGCATGTATGATGCCCTTGCTCTGATTCAGTCTCGCGTCCCTCTGTACGACACACTCCTCACCACCAAAAAGTTGGCCTTTAAGAGTTTGTCTGTCTGAGCCTCGTTTTTGGTCTTGACTAGCAAAGACCCGTCTGCCATGAAGTTAGCTTTGGCCACTTTTTCCTGTCCGCCAAGAATGCCTCGGACGCAGGTTTGAACCCATGGCCACCCTCTTTCCTTCACACTTTTCCCAGATGTAAGTTTGAGCTGCAGATAAACCCCCTGGGTTCCTTCATCTGCATCTCCCCAGAAACTCATTTCATCCACTCTTGTCCGTTTTAAGGCCCTTGGCCCCTCCATCACGTCCAATCCATATGCCTACTTACCGACCTCCGAATGCAACTATAAGTATTTTGTATTTATTCAGTTTATTGCCAACAGGACAGATTCCCAATGATAGGCAAGTACAAATGAAATGGCCTTGAATGAACTCAACAGCGAGAACCAGTTCAGCTGAGTTGGTGGAATATTCACCACCTTCCAGTTAATCGTCCTCTCTCAAAGACAATTAAATTAAAGAAAGGCAATAACCAAATAGCAACTTCTAGATCTTGACGCTTATGTCTCTCCTCTCCGGAAACGTCTTGACATCTCTCACTGGGCGGGTCTTGGTCTTGGTCGTGGGTTAGGGCGCATAGCCTCATCGGGCTCAGAGCGTCCGTAGATGTCTTGTTGCCACTTTCATGTCTTCAGAGTTGGTAGGTAAGACAATGGAGTACTAAGCGTGGTAGTGGAACGGAAAGACAACAGCGTACCGGATAGAACCAGGATATAGTATTGAGGAATATTTCCAGGTAGGACAGTAGTTAATGTTAGTAGCGAACTATAAAATGGTTATGAACTTAGAGATAAAGAACTGAAAATGAAAGTAACATAAACGACCGGTATCTTTTATGCCTGGCTTTTTTCAACAGTCAAAATAACACTCCATATACATTAATTTGCCATTGATAAACACTCTGGTAACAATAGGTACGCTTGTCTCCTCGTTAGAGTAGGAGGATGTCGTTCATCACCATAACCATCATAACATGTATCGATACACTGTGGTCGCAGACCAGTTGTTCAGGCCGTGTACGTAGGAATGCTTTGGCCGTAGTGTCTCCCTAAGCGCGCTGCGTGGATCCATGGATAGAGAGACCAGCTGGTTAGGTTCGTCCAAACTAATTAGTTTCTAAACTACGTGATCAACTACGCTCGATACTGTCTTAAGTGCCACCACCGTCCATTGTCCTGTCAGTCAAGAAGTGTACATTCATTCACGATCAGTCATACTTCCACGCACCACTTCCACATAACACAGACCACAGTACTGGTGGGACAAAGCACACGGAGACAGATGCAAAACAAAGGACATAGAACATTCATATTACATCTAGCGTGTTACATGTAAATAGAGGCACTACCATGCACACAGGCTTTTGACTCCAGCATTAAAAAAAAGAAAAGAAAAAAAGAAACACGCGTCGGGTATACATACGCTATCGCACGTGAGTCGCACGTAGTCTGGCTCGGGCCTTGGTCTGGCTCTATTGTTTCTTAATTTACTGTTTACAGGCGTTTCATAAGATCACACGCTCGCAAGAAGATCATCACTTCGTTCAGTATCTCAGGAAAGTCGTCACATAGCAGCGATTTCAGACACAGCTGAACCGCATGTCTCTGACACAGTTGCTGCAATGGTTGTCTCTCGATGGCGTACATTGGACAATCGATGAGAAAGTGCTGTACAGAAAGCAGGCAGCGACATCTTTCACACAGTGGTCTAGGCTCTCGATCAATGATATAAGAATGGGTGTACCGAGTATGGCCCAGTCTCAGACGACATAATGTAACCTCTTCTCTTCTACTGGGTCGGCTACTGCTAGACCAGTGTTCCACACGCTCCTTAATAGCTTTCAGAGTAGTGCCAGCAGGGTGATCAGCCCAGAACCGACCAAACATATCTCTGATCGTAGAGCGGATTGCAGGATAAAACTCTCGCATCCCAAGCAGTGGTGTAGTTATATCATTCAGGCTCATGGCTACCTTCGCCTGTATATCAGCCGTCTCGTTTCCTGTTATACCAGTGTGACCAGGTATCCATAACAGGATAATCGAGAAACCAGTATCAAGAAGAGTGTGGACATGGTCCAAAATCTCGGTAATAACAGGGTTAGCTGAGGGAGGGTTTCCAATGGCCATCGTCACGGACAAGGAGTCAGTACAAATCACCCATTTCTTGTCACGCTCAGTTTCAATGTAGCACAGTGCTTTTAGAATGGCAGTCGCCTCTGCTGTGAAGATGGAACACTGTACAGGCAGTCGGTACTTCCCATAGCGATCACCATGAATATAAGCACATCCTACACCATTTGGGCCCTTTGCACCATCAGTAAAAATGAAGGCATAGTCAGCATAAGAATGTCTCAATTCACGGAAATCACACTGGACTTTTAGATTGTCGAGGCAACTTTTACGTTCATCAGTAAGTCTTAGTATCTCGCATCTCTGTAAACGCCAAGGCGGTATATGGCTCTCTCTCAGTGCAATTGCAGCAGGAAATACATATCCACTTTCGTCTACCATCTGGAGCATACGTTCATACAATGGAAATCCCGATATTCGTTTCATATATGCCGCCTCCACGTGGTGCAAAGCTGCATGTCTCAATATAAGATGTCCACACGGGTGAGTATCTCGGCTTTTAACTTTAAGACAAAATCTCAGAGTTAGTTCGCATCGCCGAAGTCTCAGCGGAAGAACATCAGTCTCAACCAGCAGCGGTAAGATCGGTGATGTACGGAGAGCTCCGGTTGCTATCCTAAGGCACTGATTTTGTATGGAGTCAAGTGATTCTACCACCTTGTTCTGAGGTCCATCTAGAATCTGGCAGGCATAATCAAGAATAGGTCGTATCATGGATTTATACATGCGTATCAATACACTCCGGTCCGCCCCACAGCTTCGTCCGGCCAAGCATTTTAAGACAGATATCCGTTTAGTAGCTTTACCCTTAACATACTGCACATGTTTAGTAAGATTCAATCTGGAGTCAAAAATAACACCCAGAAACTTCACATCATCACAGTATGGGAGTGGCTGGTCATAAACCTTCAGTGATGGCAAATAAGTCAGTTCTTGTTCTTTCATATAGCGCCTAAATATGACGACATTGCACTTATTTGGGGAGAAGACAAACCCCCAACGATCGGTCCATTCGGTGACACTGTTCAGAGCTGTCTGCATTTTTTCAATTAGAGGCAAAATCCGCCGACCTCGTACCCACATGGAGCAATCGTCCGCGTATAGGGCATATGAGACATGTTCAGGAATATTGGCAAAAATATCATTAATCATCAGGTTGAACAAGAGCGGGGAGATCACGCCTCCCTGTACGAGTCCATTCTCCTGAGTGAAAGTGTTTGAGAGCACGCCATTTTTAACTTGGAACGTTCGTTCCTCAAGGTAAGATTTAACAAAGTGCATAAGCCTTCCGCGGAGTCCAATGGTATGCATACGATGGAGGATGGCCACTTTTGATGTGAGGTTATATGCACTTTGTAAATCTAGAAACACCGCCAATGTATACTGGTGATAAAAGAATCCTTTCCGCACCTCGGATTCCAATCGAGTTAAATGGTCAGCTGTATTCCTTCCCTTCCGGAACGCACACTGGAATTCAGATAAGATACTGTTCTGTTCAACATACCAGGTAAGTCTCTTTGTCACCATCCGTTCCATGATCTTGCTAAAACAGGAGGTAAGCTGTATGGGTCGGTAGGATGCAGGCTCGTCTTTTGGCTTGCCCGGTTTAAGAATTGGTATTATAATAGAGTGTTTCCACTGTTGCGGTATTTCCTCAGCACACCATATGCAGTTTATCATGTTCAGCACATGTACCAATTGTTCCTGGGAGAGATGTTTAAAAAACGCATAATGGAGGTTATCAGGTCCCATTGAGGTATTTCCACTCTTAAAGATCGCTTCTTTTAACTCAGGCAGTGAGAATAAATCATTGTATACTTCCTCGTTCTGAGACACGAAAGAGGGAAGATGAGCGCTCATCTCCCTCTCGTGCTCGATAAACCTTGGTCTGTAGTGTAGGGAAGATGATAGATCAGAATAAAATTGTCCTAAAACATTTCCCACTTCCAGCTGGTCATCAATCACCTCATCTCCAACCTTGAGCACGGGTAACGACTTCCTGTATCTTTCTTTGCGAGTAAATTTCCTTATTATTCCCCATAGTTGTTGCAGTGGTGTGTTCACATTGAACAGGTGTAAAAGTTTCTCCCACGACTCCTTTTTCGCTTGGCGAATAATTCTCCTGGCCCTAGCCTTGGCCTCCTTGTATGCCATTAGAAGTGCAGTGGTTCGATTACGTCGAAAACGGTTCAATGCCGTTTTTCTAGCACGGATTGCTTCCTTACAATCCTCATTCCACCATGGACAGCTATATTTGGGAGGACCTGTTTTCTGTGGAATAGTTTCACGTCCAGTCGACAGAAGTTTCTCCACCATAGTTTGATAGCTCGCATTCATGTCAGTCACATCAATGTTGTCAAAATTACACTGGTCAGTAAATTCACACCACTTGGCCTTATTTAAGTTCCATCCTGCAAATATGTCCCGCCCAGGCTCAATAAACGCAGATTGTAATTGTACATCATAAGAAGCATATATGGGACAATGGTCACTGGCATGGAGATCTGAATCAGTCCTCCACTCCATATATTGTCCTATTTCACTGCTGGTGATAGTAATATCAATGTGTGACCAGAGTCCTGTGTACTCGTCCATGCGTGTGGGACAGCCATCATTCAGGAGGGTCAGAGCATTGTTCCTTATGATACTTTCAATTGAATTCCCTCTGGCATCACAGCGATCCGATCCCCACATATAATGTCTCGCATTAGCATCAGTGCAAATAATAAAAGGCTCGGGTAATTGCCCTACGAGATTGTCAATCTCAGTAGTTGTAACCTGTGGGTTAGGAGGTAAGTACAAGGAACAAACACATATACGTTGGCGACCCACTTTCACACAACACGCAATAGCTTGCAGTGCTGTAGTTAAAGGGACCTCATAATGTGGAAAAGAATTGCCAACATAGATACATACACCACCACAACGACTGTTGGAAGGCGAGTATCCGTTATACAGTGTATAGTTGGGAATACAAAAATCATATTCATCTGTGGAGAGGAAATGAGTCTCTTGAAGACAAATCACTTCACACGCTTTCTCAATAAGAAGAGGTTTAACTTCAGCCCATTTAGAAATTAAGCCTCGACAATTCCATTGCATAACATTCCATGCCATTGTTAGTACCTTGTTAGTTTCTTTTTTGTTTTGTTTTTTGTTGTTTTTTTTTGTTTTGTTTTTTGTTTTTTTTTTGTTTTTTTTTTAAGTTAGGGTATGATCACACACAGGTGTGCTGTCTACGTTCCCTGTGCAGACTTGGGCGGATCCGTCCACGACTTCCGTGGCAGAGATGTGGATCTGTCTCTGCTCACTCCTGTCCTATCATTGGGTTTGGTAGGCCTGAGTATAGGGGGTGATGGGGAGATCTCATCTGAAAGCATGAGCTGTTTTTGTTTGTTTTTGTTTCCTCCTTTGTTGCTTTTGTCTTTCTTAGCGGGCTTAAATGGCCCAGCATCGTCTCCAGTGCCACTGCTCCCTTGCGGGGCTGTGGAACCATGGGATGAAGCACTGTTGCGGGGCTGAGTGGGTTTTCTTTTGTTTCCCTCAACCTCAGAAGGGAGAGAAGCGTCCAGGGCCTGAGTCAAATCGTCCATGTCATCCTCGTCACTTTGTCTGTTGTGAATACTGAGGGTCTCCATTGTGTTTTGCGACTCCTGACCATCACCATCTTTTCCACTTAGCCGTCCACCCAGAGTAGAGCCGTCACTACCACTGATCTGGCAGGTACTACTGGTTGAACGTTGCGTCAGCAGTCTTTCCAGCAGTGCCACCATTTCACTCATCTTTGACTCTAACTTTGTCACTTTTTCCTTTAGCTCATCATCATTGGCAGCACTGGGGGTACGGACTGTGTTGGCATATGACCGAAGTATTGGGGGAGGCTCATGCCTGTCATCATAGAGTTTTCGTGCAGCAGAGAAAGAGATCTCCTCCTCCACCTTGATCCGACAGATCTCTTTCTCCTTCATCCACCGATCACACACATGATCCTGGCAGGAGTGTTCCTTCCCGCAGTTAACACAGTGGGGAGCACAGCCACCCTCATGGGGTACCAGTCCACATCTCAGGCACACTTTGCTTTTTGTGCATCTCTCAGCTGTGTGGCCAAAAAGGCCACACTGATAGCACTGGAGAGGGTTAGGCACATGTCTGGTAATGTGGTATGTCACATAATCCAGTTTCATTTTAGAGGGGCACGTCGGCTTATCAAAAGTCAGGAGTACAGTCGCTGTAGGTACTACTTTACCATTGACCTTACGAGTGAATCTCTTGGCACCAGTGACGCCATGGTCACTCAACCAGCCGACAATCTCGTCCTCGCTCAGGTCCTCCAGGTCATAGGCACGGATTGTGCCTCGGGAAGAGTTGAGCCTCCTGTCCTTTACTACCTCACAAGTCTCACCAGCAAGTTGTTGAGTTTTCAGAAGTTTGTCTGTTTGGGTCTCATTCTTTGTTTTGACCAGAAGGGAACCATCGCTCAGAAAGTTTGCTTTCTCCAGTTTGTCACTGTTTCCCAGGACTCCACGGATCCCCATCTGCACCCATGGCCAGCCTCGAGATTTAAGGGTTTTGTCAGACACTAGGCTTATCCTCAAGTACGAGCCCTGACTAGTCTCATCTCTGTCAAAGAACGTCTCATCAGACCTCACTCGTTTTCCGGGCCGTAAATCCGGCCCAGGCCCCATCCTGGAGCATAACCTCCTCTACGAAAGCGATAAAAGCTTGACACCAAATCAGTAATATCAAAGGATACTCGGAAAATAACCAATTGGAAAGTACAAAAACAACAAAAAACAAAATGTCTTCCACTGCCACGTGGCACGAGGCGAATATTCTTGCACGTCTGTCCCTCGCCAGATCTGAAACAAGAATGTCTCACTGGGCGGTCACCAGTGAACCTCTTCGCAATTGTCTTTAGGTGTCTTGCAATTGTCGACAAACATGATTGTTTACAGTTTCTCAAGAACCTTACTTTTACTAAATCTAGCAGAAATATTGTCGTGGTAGAAAATTGCTAGCTTGAAATACATATTTGCTCTGGGTAAAGAAAAATCATCTTTTGAAAAATATTAAAAAGGCTAGTTTTAATTTGAATAAAAAAAATATCAATGTATTTGCCTGAATATATCAAGCAGAAAACAGCGCCGCCTCGTGATCCTAAGCTGTTGGTTGATAGCCTTGGGTGATTCCTCAGTTTTCAAATCTAGCTTTTGCATGTGAGGTGTGACCGATGTGCCTCCATCCAGCGGAATCCAGCTAGATTGCAAAGTGGTCGGTCGTACGGGTTGGACCGCGGCGGCATAACTCGGCTTCTATAAGTCCGATTGACAGAGGACAAGCACCGAGATCGATCGTCCACAAATTTGATGACCAATCACAATGAAGTGGTAAGTACCTACGACATCTCACTCTTCGGCGTTTGGGTATGTAATTATGCGGTGGTGTCGTTTGTATACAAAAGTCGGTAGTGCCCCCCCCCCTTAATTGAAGGTGTTCCGCCGCTACAGCAACAAACCCTATGTAAACGCGTCTTCAGTTGGGCAAACTAGACTTTTGGAATCAAAATATGGAGGCATCAATAATTTGATTCTGGTGGGAGGAGCCACCATGACCAAATATGGGCATGGAATCAATTTTTTGATTCATTTGGGTACACTTTTGACTTCAAATGTCTCGTTACGGCGTAAAAAAGGCCCATGACGGTGAGATTTTTCTTAAAAAAGGTAGAAAAATGTGGTAGGTTTGCAAAAAGTGTTACCTCCAAGCTAAGAAATTGTCCCTTCTTTGGCCTTGTGAATGGGAAAAAGACAGAACCACTGCCCATCACGTAAAAGCTGTTTTGAGGAAATCGCACTGTATGTTCTTTTGTATCATGAATCACATAGGTACTAAACAATCAGTATTTGTGTAAAATGGCAAAATGAAATTTTTAAACCCCTAATTATCATTGTTGTAGTGCTTTTATATTATTTATATGGTTTTTACCCGTTGCTTCAGTTTTTGTTTTCTTGACATTTAAAAATTGTTAATTGTTATCAAATGTAGTGAAGGTAAAGTACAACAGTGCTATAGGTATCCGTTGTGGTGCTGAGGATACCACTAAATGAGAATAATAGCAAGATAAATGCTGTATTCTTGCAAGTCATTGTTGCCTATTTGTTAACATTACCTGTGAATCAAAATAATGATTAGCCAGCTGATGGGGAATCAATATTATGATTATCTGTTTAAAGTGAATCAGTTCCTTGATTGCCTTTCACTACCTATTGAATTCAAATTGTTATGATAGGGGCAATATTATTTTGCTTAGGAGATAGTTCCAGCATTTCTGTTCAAGATCAGGCATGCTCCTTCTTGAAACACTCTCTTATTTTTATGTGATTGGTAGGTTAGAAATGGTCTGCATTTATGCCCAAATATGGTCATAAGGAATCAATCTTTTGATGCCTCCATATTTTGATTCCAAAGGTCTAATTTGCCCAACTGTCTTCTGTGTGCTGACCATCGCACGACCTTGGTCGTCGGCCAAGCCAATCGGCATTGAAGTTTCCATATCCCCCCTATGATGTCGGCTTATGATGACAAGGTCACTTGAGTGACCTCTCAGGTGGCCTTCGAGGAAAAATCCGAGATACACAAGTTGTGAGGCCTCTGGAGGACACGGTCCTGTCCGTTTTATTTCCCTGTGAAAGCTCTTCTGGCATTAGGTTCATTGCGGATTTGTGACATTCACAGTTTAGCACCGTGCAGAAGTTTACGTATGACGTCATAGGTCAGTGACCTGACCTGACCTGAAAACGCGGCATGGGTGGAGCTTTTCCAGGAAAGTTGGTGGGGCAAAAAGTTGTCAAACCTACAATGTCCGATTGTTAAGTTAGATAAAATTCAACAATGAATCAATTCTTTTCATTACAGAGATAATATTTTGCATTACACAGACATTTCAAAGCTCCTCAATGCGAAAAACATAGGTTTGCTAAGCAGTAAAGTCCTGCAAATCGGCTTATGTTGGTGGGGCAAAACGCTTATTGGTGGGGCAAATTGGCAAGTTGGTGGGGCAGGCGCCCCACTAAGTGAATAGGAAGCTCCACCCCTGAAACGCGGTTGATGTCACATGATCTGGCTTGAATCAAAAGTTAATATGATAAATTTTAACTTTCTATCACAAGCGTGCTTTAAGCTATCACAAAAAAAAACTACGATGGTGGGCCCCGCCCCGCCCCTTTCCTCAGCCGGCGAGGGTTAACTTGTCAGCCTCGAATTTTCGCAAATACCTAATTGTGATTTTTGACCAATGACCATGAAAATACCGTACCTATCATTAAACACGACCAGAAGTGGCATGGTAAAATTTCTGACAAACGAAGCAAGATAAATATCGACTCAATCTCAAAACTTAAAAAAAACTATGTGATCGAAAACTGTGTGAACGAAAACGAAGCATTTATATGTGTGTAGAACGGCTGCTGACTAGTTGGACAAGATTCCAAATTTCAATTTGGCTAGATGGTCATGAAATACTCGTCGGTATAAACTGTAGGTATACACTTCGATTTGCCCTTGCATTACGTCTATCCCATGGCCTCGCTTTTCATTCTCGCTTTTTTTTTGTCCGGGATGATGTCGCCGCTAAACGAGTTGTTTGTTTCCTTTTGTTGAGAATTTGAGTGCAAGCAGTCTTGACGATTGCAGATTATTGTAGGACTATGACATAATAGGTAGCGGAATGGGGGAAGGAAGGGTGTGCACTGTGCAGGTGTTTGATTTAGATCATTAAGCATCATTTCCGCCATCATGCAGTGTCACATCTTCCCCTTCCCTTCACTGCGGCATCTCTGCGCCCCACACACGGGGTGAGACTAAATGCTTACTTCGAAATCTAAGCTGCTTTGCGGCATTGGCGGTTATGTGCGGCGTGTATGCCGCATGATTAGTAAGCGGCGACCACTAAATTAAAAACTCAATAGCTTTGACCTGTTTTCAATGGATAACACTGCATACCAAAAATGTCCATCGCTCTCGTCATAGGATATTTAGATTTAAATAACTAACTTATCTACATCATCGTTTTGAACCAAATTAATACTTTCAACTTGACCCTCGCCCGTATTGGTGTTTTTCCAGCCGCGAACGGCGAACGTATAAGGTATAACCCCTTGCCGTTTCGCTCCTGATCAAGCGAGAGCTTCGCGGAAAAAAACGAGCGTGTTGCCCGTGACGAGAGGAAGCCGATGATACCCAATTTTAAGGTCCTAGGTCATCGGTTGACCTTCCAGGTCAGGCCAATGACCCAAAAGGCGGAAAATTGGGACCTGTTAGAACGTCGTAGTGTGGCTGCTATGGGGTTTTCCGGGGTGCTGATCATGAATATCATGCTAGTTTTGATGATGATGTCTTCATTCATTTAGGCCAGGTCGGGTCAGGTCAGGTCAGGTCAACCAGTAGAGGTCCTGCCGGGTATTTGTAGTAGGTGTCAACCGCCTCTGACAGCCTCGTAACATGTCACGAAGGCACCAAAACTACTTTGTAAACGTTCATGTGGTTGCTAAATTCGAATTCAGCTCGAAAAACTGGCCTAGAAACATGTCAAACTCGAAAAAGTGAACCGAGTTCACCAAAGGTCAATGACCTGACCTGACCTTCAGGTGACTTTGACACCCACCCTAATGCATGGGGGCAACATCATATCACATGTTTGAACGCTTGAAACGGCCTTGCTTGAAACCACGAAAAGACTGCAAACGCGCTGCTAATGCGAGCCGACATACGCTGAATCGCGGTTCCGGCCAAACATGGTCTCGAAAAGTAGGTCACAGGTCAAAGGTTATTTGCGTCAGGGTCATGAAATTTTCAGGGTAGGTGTAAAATTGATCAACGCGAGGATACTAAACGTTACGTCGTGATCGGCCGCTTTTTACGCGAGTTATTCGCGAAAAACCGAGGGGAGTCCGTTCGACCCCCCCCCCCCCCTAAAGGGCGAGGGTTAACTCACAGTCCGAGCTCCGAACAAGTTCGGTCTTGTTTGTGAATTTGTCGGAGCATCACCTATTGTTAACGCCAGACCCCTTGAGACCCTAATTTTTCGCGATTACTTTTAAATGCGTGAAGGAATTTCAACCAAGCTCAGGACATGGCCGTTTCAAGACAGGCCGAAACTTTTACAATTTAGATATTTTATCGCCATTTCAATATTTCAGGCACTTGTCATTGACTCGTAATGTTAACTGTTTTTCCATCCTGGATAGAGGCTTTCTACGTCATATGACATTAGGCTCCGCCCACGACTGCGGCATTGACCCGTGCCCATCAGCGACCTCTGTACAAACGACACCCCTGCCATCTGTGAAGGACTATGAATTTCGCTGACGCTTCACGTGCTATGAGTCAATTGCAGCAGACGGTCAAGTAAATGTTAGGCTCTTGTTGACTCTTGTATATAGGACCAAGAGGACCATGACTCCTCAACCTACTACTCAGTCGTGCTTCGAACAAACGTTAACGATTCCTAACAAATACGATTTTCGATGTAGGGTATCTGTTTGAAATACGAGCGAGCCGTATGATGTGAAGCTCAGGCAATTAACTATTATTGCGTTGTTCGATGGTTGCATAGCGATGTACAAATCGGTAGCTACTTGGTGACATCCGACATCCCATTATCGCATTATCTGCAACGCCATAGGCTTTAAATACAGGTGAATATTTCCTAACCTTATGTCAGTTATATGCCATCTGCCCGTCATATGCAGCTTATATAAATAAAAAGAAAAAATATCAGC